GGGTGTCTATTACACGTGCTTTATTACTAATGGTTTAGTTAAATGATACGTGGTCAATTTATATCCAATAGGCACATTCCGAAACACTCAGTTCCCTAAGATTTGATAGTTTCAGATTTCCAACCGTTTTATGGTAGGAACAGGCGATTATTACACCTTTAAATGTCAGGTTGGGTTCCCCCGTATAACATCTAAAACTTAATGGTTTAGAAAAATGCCGAAAATGAAGTATTTTCGTTTTACTTTTTCGTCATGTAAAACGAATCTTTATCTACGGAAAGTTCACAGTAAAGACAAACTTATTTAACAGTTTAACAGTTGGATTAAATTTAATATTACAAATGTTTAACTTTATTATAATTATTTCTAAAGCATCATTTCAATAGGAGATGTTTCTTGTAATCTATGAATAATGATATTTTAATTCTACATAGACTTAATAATCCAAACCTTTATTTGACAAAAGTCTGTCTGTGTCAGCTTATAACTGGTGAACCGCTGAAATAATTTTCGCCCAACCTGGTATGTATCATTCGGACCCCAGAGGATCGGCATTCGGATCTGTCACCCACCTATGTCATTCCCCCCTGTGGCTCTCTGTCTTCCTCATTTGGACGGATAAGTTAGGTAGTTCAATAAAAATCACAAAGTCACTGAAATATCGATTAGGCTTAGAAATACGACCTCTTAACAGTTTTATTTAAGTGAACAGCTAAGATTGCATAAATTATTATCTGTCCACTCTTCATTCTTGCTTAAAGTAACACAACAACAAAACTAGAAGTATTCATGCAGCTACACACAAATATATATAGCTAATATAGTATAATATAATGTAAAATAAACTGAACTATTTATCCTATTATATTACTCCTGAAGCTAATTGCACCTTATAAAAAAGATGTTCCAGAACCCGACCTTGGAAGTACTATCTCGATTGTGCTTAGTTCGATGACTATGACTATGCACTATGTTCCGACAACGTAATTTTCATTCTGGTAAGTTTTGTCGAAAGACAGCGAGATAAATTCTAGACATACAATTTGACAAACCTTCCTTAGAACCCGCACTGTACATGAACGTCGGGTTCCATGATCACGCTTAAGCAAACCAACGGTGCCAAAGTTGACTGAAACTGTATAGGGAGAATTGGCCGGTACATGGCCTAATGGGGTTGTGATTTCAGTTTCTTCGGCCACATTTTCATGAAAACAGCCTTTGATTTTGAGGTGGGGCTAGACTTGCGAAGTTTGGTTTGGAAAGTTCATATTATTATTTCTTACACTGCTAACGATGTAAGCAGTGTCATTGCAGTGGCTCTGGATTGTCTGAACGTCTAGCTTTGCAGCCCGTTACTGTTCTAAATCCTCTGTTGTACAAAATATGTTGCTCCGTCCTTTGGGTCAACGTCGTCTAACAGTCTCACTGTACGACCATTCTTCTTCTATTCGGTGGGCCAATATCGACCTATGGTTAGCGTACCTGACTGTGGATCTGAGGGTCCGTGGTTTGCGCCCATTTCCTGCCAAAATAATTCGCGTTTCGAACTTTGGGACCGCAGGTGCGTGACAAGGGAAATGGCTTAGTTATACTTTGATTAGAGTAGCCCACGAGTTGACGGTGGGTACTGTTGACTTAACTACTTTCCCTTCTAATATATCCCTTCAAAATTAGGGACAGCTAGCGTAGATAGTCCTTCTCCAGTGGCTTTACGCGAAATTCAACAAACAACAATATCCATTCAGCCATAAGTCTTATGTGACAGTATTACATTGTTGAATGGTCGAGAGCTCACCGTAAACCAAATACGTAGGTACTAAACATGTCGCCCTTGTAGCCACGGCGCTCATTTGCGGCGACAGCCACTTCTTTCGTATACCGCCACTTTACGTAATCATTCAACGCACGAAGAAGACAGAGATTCGCAGGGGGCGATATAGGGAGTCGGACTTAAACATTGACCAACAACGTCACTCCCAGGTTTGTTGACAGTCTGTCTAATAATTCGTCAGTTATAAAAGAATACATTTTGTCAAATAATTGTTTGGATAAACTAAACACTGATATAATCTGTATAACACAAGTGTATTCAAACTCTTATATCCTATATCAAGTTTCACACGATATAATACAAATATTACATTGTTCAGCTTAAGTTTGGATTTCATATTGTCTTGACGGTAATGACCAGACAACTGGTATAACACAGCACGGCTTCTGCGGCGTTGGTAGTTGTTAGTAGATAAACATCCTTCGGGTTCGAGGTTACCGTTAGCATCTATATGACGAAAAGATGGAAACTCCTTTAAAAGATCAAAAATGATGTATATAAGCACGTTCCATCTACTATGGGCTTACAAAGCAATGTTTTCAAGAAATACGTCTAAAATACTTAAAACAATCTCATGTATAAATACATAAAAGATACGTTGAGACTATAATTTATTTGTCTTATAATAAATTATGTGAAACAGTTACAAGTATATTACATATACGTGTAATAGTCGTATCATTCATACTTTATCAAGAAAACATTAATAATACAAAAGAATTGTTCTGAAACTCATTATTTTTATCAAATGAGTTGCGATATTAATTCCCATCCCAAATGAATCAACACGCAATACTGGGGACATGTGCTGCTGAATAACTGATTTTTCCCAGCTCAGACCTGCGATGGTTTTATTGTATTGAAATTTTTACATGCTCTACAATAACTCCTGTACGATGAAACCGAAAATGATATCCATTTTTCTCCATCCCATACAGATTTTTCACAAAATGTCATATGTACTTTTACATAAGTGAATAATGCTCATTAAAATCGGGTCACATTTTATTATGCTTAAAATGTTGACAATCACTGGCTATAGATGTCTCTAGACCAATCGCGACGTGAGAGACTTATCGATCGTTCTAGAACAGACGAGAAACACACCACTAGTATATAAACGGTTAACAGGCCGCAGGACGTGTCATTTCTGGATAGTATTTGTTTGTGCGTGCACTTTGAAATTATTTTTTTGCCTTTTCACTATTATTTATTCGTCGCTATGGCAACAAGAGGTTGTGTAAATAACCCAAACATATTCTGTTATACTTCTGGTAAATTTCTTGTCAATTTGGCCTAAGTAAGATTTTTTTTTCTTTATTCCCGATTTATAAAAAAAAATCGTTACGCGATAAAAAAAAAAAGAATATTATTTTCGAAATATGCGTAGCTGAATTATAGAAAATCCGTTATTAAAATCAAAACCGTATTTATGAAGTTTAAATTCGCAGCCATGTGTTATTCTTTTAATTTTCAATAGCACACGCTATCACATTTCAAACGCCCTTTTTGTTTTGTTTTCTTGTTTTAAATTTCGCGCAAAGTTACACGAGGGCTATCTGCGCTAGCCGTCCCTAATATAGCAGTATAAAACTAGAGGGAAGGGAGCTAGTCATCACCACCCACCGCCAACTCTTGGGCTACTCTTTTACCAAACGAATAGTGGGATTGGTCGTCACATAATAACGTCCCCACGGCTGAAAGGGTGATCATGTTTGGTGGGACGGGGATTCGAACCCGAGTCAAGCGCCCTAATCACCTGACCATGCCGGGCCAACGCCCTTTTTGCAGATATTTAGCTTCAAGTGAATATCCGTTTTTTTCCTCGTTTTGCATTGACTTTATCAGTTAAAAAATAACTTATTCGGAAAATATGCATACAATCACGAAGGCAAAGGAGAAGTACTACAACTTATCTCACCACTATTATACGTTTCGTTCATTTCTATCTCGGCGATCTTCGTCTTCGTGATATCCTTGTGTGAAGCAAGGAACAACACTACTTCGTGCTTTTCGTTTTTGATTGGAACGATGTCCAGAAGACACCAAAAAGGGATACCTGGAAAGAGCAATACCAGGATTTATAAATGAGAATTTATATTATGTCCGATTTTACTTCTATCATAGGAAAACATGGTCTTCTTGAGATTTTTAAGCATAATTTGGTTACAAATCAAACACACTGTTGTAATATAAGCTCTAAACTATAAGTTGCTTTTTGGCAAATTAAAAAAAAACAACAGAAAAGTTACATTTTTCACAAGATATCATGTGCAACTACCCTGAAAACTTTTAATCTTTCGTAGCATATAAAGACTTGAATCGAAACACAACAGTAAAAATTACCAACCAGTTCTTGTGTAGAAGACCACTTCCAGTTTCAGTTCAGTTTTATTACACAGTGCCATCTCGATCTGTTCTTTGTCTTCTTTAGTTGTTTCAGACCCAAAGAGGAAAGTACAAGCACAGCTTTTCTGCATGATCTGGGCCCTGGGGTAACCGGTGAGGTCACAGAACCCGTCAGAGCAGTACACGATCGGATATATTGATGGAACTTGTGCATTTCCCAGCACAAAATTGCTATCTACAAAGAAATGGAAACAGTTTAGGTGACAGTAGATTTGTTTGTTTGTTTGTTTTTGAATTTCGCGGAAAGCTACACGAGGTTTATCTGTACTACCCGTCCCTAATTTAGCAGTGTAAGACTAGAGGGAAGGCAGCTAGTCATCACCATCCACCGCCAATTCTTGGGCTACTCTTTTACTAACGAATAGTGGGATTGACCGTCATATTATAACGTCTCCACTGCTGAAAGGGAGAGCATGTTTGGTGGGACGGGGATTCCAACCCGCGACCCTCAGATTGCGAGTAGAGCGCCCTAACAACCTAGCCATGCCGGCCAGGTGACAGAAGGATTTATTGGTATATTGTTGTTGCTATGTGCAAACAGGCATTCCTGGATGCATTGGTGGCATAGAACTATATGTAACCAATAAAACCATTATATCAAGGTGAATGGATCAATAATACATTTTCTAGGTGATTCACAGAAGAGAAAATGAAACGTTTCTGTTTAAAGAAAGTATAAAGCGAATTTACTTAACGTAAACACTTATTCATAGCTATTAAATATATTTTACGAGATATAAAAAAATTAAATCTAGCTAAGGATATATCTACTGAGCGTTAATCGTACTTTATAGGAGCGATCTTCTGCTTTACGTGCTGCTTTTGGAACTACTTTCTCGGTCGTCAATCGTGCTCAAGCTGATGGTCATTATTACGAAATATTGTCCGTCACCATATTTTTTATTGTAACAAACTTTTGTGAAGGACGGCAGGGTCAGTTTTGAAACACACACACACACACCTTGAAAAACTTTTCACAGATTCTTCACTGAACATAAAAGTCGTTTTCCAAGAACATGATTAAGAATACCAAAAAGAATAAAAACACAAATGTATTCTGTAGCTGCATTGAATGAGAATCCTGACATTCCAGTATCTTTCGCTATCTTTCCCATGAGAATAGCCATTGATTTTGAGGTGTTACTGGAAGCTCGTGAGCCTTCGTGAACTTTAAATCGTTGTTTATTATCTTCTTAACGGTACCAGAGAATATGCTCAACTTTATCATAACGGCCATTTTAGGTCAAGCCCCCCCCCCCCCCGATGGCTCAACGATAAGGCTGAGGGCATACAAAACCAAAAATAGTTTCGATAACCGCGGTGGGAGGAGCACAGATAGCTCTTTTTGTAGCTTTGTGCTTAACTGTAACAAAGCTAGGTTTTAAGTCAAAGTGCTCCTTTATAATAGCCATAGTCTATGCTTTTTGAATGAGGGCAGTGCTCAGGATTGGTTTGAGAGTTGTTTTGGAGTCAGTTGCTTGCCTAAACATTCTGTTGGGCGGCTTTTCCCACTTCGATGAAGAATACTAAAATCTCCCTTTTGAAATGTTTTGTCCCTAGACTCCTCGTCGTTTAACAATCCTGCAATAGAAAAATTCCTTCTTCTGAAAGAGCTTTGAAAAATTCCCCCAGCAATAATCTTTTTCCTGGCGGCATTACAATATCGATTGGTTAGGAACTCGTCGCGAACCAAATATATAAATGTTGCCAGTGCTGCAGATTTGCACTTGAGAAGGCACAAACATCGTTATTATTACAGTAGTTTTCATTAAAAAAAAAAGATTATTGAATTTAGAAGCAGAAAAATAAAACTTCACACGAGCTAACCATAACCTTATGATCTCATTCTCGTTATATTAAAAGGGTGAACCTAGGTTTATAGAAAAACTGAAATAATTATGGAAACACACAAGCGAGAGAAATACAGGAGCAACAAACAACTAGATAGTTAGTTTGTTAACGATACAAAGCATTATCATAGAAAATATGAAAAAAATGCTAATAAGTTGTACAATGCACTAATATTTTGTAAATGAGTCCTTTGTTTTACGCCCTCCCCCCGGTGGCTTATTGGTATGTCTGCGGAGAAACCGGGTTTCGATACCCATAGTGGGTAGAGCACAGATAACCCTTTGTGTAGCTTTGTGCTTAATAGCAAATAAAACAACCTTTGCCTTACACAGAGTATTGCATCTTACTTCTCCCCCCCGGTGGGTTAGCACTAAGTTTACGGACTTACAGTGTTAAAAGTCCGGGGTTAGATTCTCCACAGTGGACAGAGTGAAGATAATCAATTATGTTGCTTTGCACTAAGAAAACAGCACCAACGATAACAGAAACAACACCTTACAGTTTATTAAAGCAGGAAAGTATTCCAAATGTTATATATTTCTCTTTATAATCATCCTTTCGGCCTCAGTTTTTAAAAAGGCTCGTAGCCTCACGAATATTCGTATCGAGATTTTGTACAAACACAGCCATGATTGTGAAAGTACCATTGTCCTCTTTACAGTAAATATATTGTTTGGTCACATTCGCCATATCTTTAGGATCACTGTCTCTAGAAGATGAATCCCCGCTCAATGAGCCGAATTCATTATGAATCAGAAACTAAAGTGGTCAGTAGTCATGATGATATCAGTTTTGTGCGGATCACCAACATCATTGGCTGAAATATAGCCCTATACTTGTGTTGATCACTCACCACTGTATATGATATATATTGACCATGATACCGTTCCCCTAGACCTTTGGGGATTCGACTTCCATTCATAACGATAAAAGCCGATCGGCAAATTGTTCTTCTCTCGAGAGTTCTGACTCCTATCGGAAATCGAGTTAGTCTCCCAAGTGATCTGCTTTAACCAACAATCCTCACTTGACCTCTAGAACAAAATGTCGAACAAAATGCTGTTGATTGTTGCCTAAAAATTCATCTATGCAAAAAGACACATCTCCAACTTTGCTCACTCCACTGTTTGTGGTGTTCTGCCCAATTCAATTATTTGGTTTGATCACCTCTTCTTCACAACTATTTTTGAACAGTTACACGTCTATTGAGAGCACTTCGTGCCGATGTGTATCTTACTGTTCTCTAGATAACTTCCACAAACCTGTATTTACAGCAAAATTGTTGTCCAGATCTGTACTTGACCATCATCTATCTTGTAAAGAAAATACTCCGAGATACTTAACATCACTTTTGGAACGTTTCGCTTTTCAACTTCTGACACTTCTATTGTTACACGTACCTTCTCCAGTATCTTGGGTACAGTTCTTATTGAAACATGGAGAATTTCCGCAATCCTTTTTTTTTATGGACTAACTAAAATTCTGATTTCTACGCATTGTCATGCGATATTTCAGAACTGTGAACCATAACTGAATTCACACTACTATTACTGGGTATGGTATGACCGCCTGTACTTATATATATAATATATTATGGTACGGAACTTTATTATTAGTTGAATGAGAACTAACCACAGAGTAAACTATCAACAAGTAACTGTACTTTGGTGTGGATAATTTTCCCCACGATAAAGAGGAGGGGCATTCTGATATTATTTGCCTTTTATATCCTTTCTTCACAGTTTCCGTAATTATTTCCAATACTGCATATAAATTGTTTCTTTAAATAATAATGGAGTCAAACATAACATTAAACTAATCACTCCCAAAGTGTTAAAATGATAAAGGTTTGCCACTAAAAATAAAAATGGACCAACTCCGTCAATTCGAGGAAGAGATAAACGTTTGCCACTCTGCACAATATGAAATCACTAAACTCAGACTGTTTAAAATATATTACGTTTTCAGGTATGAACTTGCAGGATTACACCATTTTATTGACGCTCAAAGTCTAAGGTAAAAACGCTTTTTAATAAGAATTCTGTCTGGTATTCGACTGCCATTCATTACGATAAAAGCCGATGGACAAATTGTTTTTCTCACTAGAGTTCTAGCTGCTATCGGAAATCGCTATTGAGGAAATCAAGTTAGAGTCTCCCACGTGTTTTGCTTTAACCAACTGCATTCACGTGACTTCTAGAGCTACTAGAAAAAACGAGGCTCTCGTATGAGAGTTATTTCGCTTCAGTTGAAACTAGGGTTATTACGGTATTTCCTTCAATCCAAGCATGTGATGTGATACTGCAATAAAGAAGAAGTTTTAAGAAATACGGTGGTCACAAAAATATTTCCTTCTCTGCTCTAAGCATAAGTTTCAAAATAAAAGACTTAAATATTAAAAATTAATTCTGATCCTGGTCACTATAACAATGATTTGATTTTCTTGTAGATATACTTCTATTTCAGATTGACACAGTAACAATATATATATAGGTGTAATAAAACAAACCCTGGCAACCATCTGGGGAAAAAAATGTCAATTGCTTGTACTTACCATGTCAAACCCTGGCAACCATCTGTGAAAAAAATGTCAAGTGCTTGTAGTTACCATATGCCATCATGAAAACTGACCATTACATCTAATTTACGCAAAGCTATCAACAAGTCTGTGAAATTATTAAAAGTCAATTAGCCAATGCTTCAAAACATGTCCAAATCAAATTCTGAAACTAATCGTTAATAGGCCTAATGTTTAATTTACAGTTAGCTCTAAGCGTTCTGGTTGATTTTGCAAGCATCAAAATAAAACACTTAAAATTAATATGAAAAGTTGATTTCTTTATTTGTTTTAACACAAAGCTGACTATTCACGTCTGTCTACCGTGGAGAATCGAGCCCTGAATTTTAGTGTTGTAAGTCCGCAAATTTACCACTGACCCACCAAGGGACAAGAAAAACAAACTAATAAAAATAATTTACATGACCAAAATGAAGGATAAACGTTTTAAAATTACAATACAATTGGAAAACGACAGAAAAAAAATCATTATTTTTTAAATAATGATAAGAAATAGACCAGGTTAGATTTCATTAGACAAGGAGATTTTCGACGATTTTAAAAGCTAGAAGAGAAACCAATCAGAAACTGCTTTACCTTTCTTGGTTTATTTATGGCTTTGAATCAAGTAGGTTATAAGGGTAAAATAAACGTTCAGTAGGTCGATAAAGAAATTTTTTTCACATAATGATCCGCGGTTGCTATAGAAACAAAATGCGGAACTGTTACCAATTTGTATTTTTGGCACGAAAAGATAAAACACGGCG